TGTAAATGCATTTCAAACAGTTTTTCACAATTATAAAATATTCTACTTTTTCTTTGTCTAACAAAATATGAAATTAAAATAGGCATGGAATCGACAATGTTGAACTCTGTTAGAATGTGAATGTTTCGTTGTTTTCTTGTTGAAATCAATTTGAATCTCGCAAATGGAAGATGATTTGTACTGAATAAGAAATTAAAAAATTTTTTTTTACTTTGATGTATCATTTATTTGATCGATTGCAAACACTAAACTCAGATCAAATGAAAAATAAAATCTACAAAATCATGGATTTAGTTTGAGACAATGAATTTGTTGTTATTGTAGCTTATAGTTAATTTCACCAAATAGTAATCGATGCAAAGGTTTACATTAGCACACATCGAATATGGTTAGTGCATGAAATATTTGTGCGTGTAGCAATGAAATGTGTCGGTGTGTTTACATCAATTTATAAAATTTATAGACGTGGTACTATATAAAGAATATAGTGCGTGTGCTTGTATATGCTATTTTGTATGGCCACTTTCAATGACCTACCACTATACCTTGTCGTACCGATACTGTCGATTTCGATCACACGAAATACGGTAATTATTACAAAAATAAAGCAATTGAATAGATGACCAGGTTTTTGACAGCCAGTTGGCCTTGCGATAAATTTGACTTGGCATCATATTGCAACGCGAAGAATATTCAAAATTAATGCGGCAAGCATGCAAATTAGCCAAATAATGGTGTTTCAAACGATATCGACATAGATTATCGTTCGGAAGAAGAAGAAGAAATATCATTGATGAATTGAAGAGTTTTCAGAAACACTAGGTTTTCAATTCAATGGTTATCAATAAGATCATAGATCATGGAAACAATATTTGTATAAAACCATATGAACTACTATTTATTTAATTTCTCTCAATTTCATCAATAAAAGTATGATTGTTTTATAGACATGTGCAATGGGGGCAATTATTGTTCTTACTTATAATTTGGAAGACCTTTTTTGCTCTTATTTTTTCGGAGAGACAATTTCTTTCGATTTTTTAGAGTTTTGTGACGAGACTGTTGTGTGGGTTTCACATCGAGTAATCACGTCAATTTTAGAATATTTGCCGTTATAAACTGATAAAAATAAACTGTATTTATTTACTTCAAGTTCCTTGTTCCTAGGTTATCTTCTTCTTGATACGAGTAAGCTTAGGTCATTTGGTTTGAAGTAAGCTAAAAATCAAAATTTATATGAATTTCTACTTCATCTATTATCATTTTAATAAATTTAATCACTAAAAGTCCAAGTGGTTTCGAGGTGTATATTATGTTGCTGCTTAATTCCATCAAAAAGTGCTATAAATTATTTTTTCCGAAATTTCGAAAACATACAAAAATGTGTAGTGTATTTCAAAATCAATTGACAAACTAAAAATATTTGCTTTGTTTGGAAAAAGAATTTACTCATGATGATATCATCTCGGATTATGAAATATTTATAACAAACTCGAACTGTGAACATAATTAAATTATTTTTAAAGAACCCGTGGCAAATGTCATACTAACTGTCATATTCAAATACAATTTCTTATGACTTTATGACTTATGAGAAAGAAAGAGACAAACAAGTGGAGTGACACAAGTTCTTTCGGATTCTTAATTATTTAAAAAAATTAAAATATTTTGCATTCAATGGAAAGTATCAGTAAACTGTGAAAACATGGCAAATCGAAAAGTGTTCGGATTATTTTTCACCGGAATCATAATTTTCGAGGTAAAGTTGGAAAAGCAGATTAAGATTTTCGTTTAATTTTTTACTTTTTTAAATTGATATTTTATTCAACAGCTTCTAATTTCCCACGTTCATAGTAGCCCAAAAGATGACCGAGTATGCAGCAAAAGAGCTGCCGTTAGAAGATCAACGAATTAAAAGAATCGTAAAGTTATTATAACTTCACATTAAGCTCGTACTTATATCATGGACTGTTCCTCTGAGAAGGAACAGTAAGGCGACAAATACTCCTTCTCAAGTGAGGAGGTAAAGTATAAATATATTCAAAAACATTTTCCTCCTCACTTCGCCGTTCTACTTTCTTTGAGGAACAATTCCTAACTTTTTGCGATTTTCCCATTTGTATTTTCAAGTGAAAGTTTTGATGATCCCAAAATATTGTACCTTATTTAATATACTTTCTTTTCAAGAAGAGGAATTCGTCGCTGCCGGAACTAAACATCAACAAACAACCATTGAGTGAACCTTTAAAAGAAATCAAGAATATTTACGATTTTTTGGAAAAATGTCTCAAGAAAAAGGTTTATGATCAATAGCACAGTCACTTGAAGTGAAATTGTTTAAGAACAATAATTCAATTGAAGTATTAGCAAGCAATTTTAAGCCATATACATTTAGTAACTTCCCACAAACTCGCAGATTGAAACGCAGCAGCTGGTTATCAAAACGACAACTTCTGGCACAAACAATACTGCTTTTGGACAATCAATACTTTTTTTGATGAAAATACATTTCTATTCGAATATAATACCAGCAATAGAGCAAATGACTGTGAATATTCCGGAAACTGAACGTGATGATAGTTTTGTTCGTTTTTGTGGTTCCAGACTATCTTTGAACACAAGTGAGTCACTCAAACTAAAGTCATTCATTAAATGTAATATTAATAAATATTGAATTTTAGAAGCTGAAAAACCCGATGCTGATGCAGTTATTCTATTGGAAAACTTGAAATTTCAAGGCTATAATAGTTTAAGTAGATGGTATAAGTTGGATAGAGATGAAATTAGGGCGACTTTAAAGGTATATTATTTGAAAAAAATATTCAGAAGATCTGAGTCAAAAAAATAATTATTATTATTGTTCCAGAGCATGGCGTATTTACATGCGCTCACTATTTCTATGAGACATTTGCAGCCAACTGTTTATTATTCGGAAATTGATCCTTACTTACAATCAGATCATGACACTGTTTTAATGAGTATTTAATTCAAATAGCAGAGGTAAGTATGTTCATTTTATTTATTTACATATCGTTTTTTTAAATAAATATCTGCGAATAGATTACTCTCAACCATGACGACAAAAACACAAACATCAATTATGTTGCAATTGAATGATGCAAAAGACAAACTACGAAGTTCTGCCCGAACTCCTGACACACCGTATACAACAATATATCATGGAGATTTATGGTCACCAAACATCATGATTAAAAAGGGTAGATTTTATTATATTTTTGTGCGGTGTACACTGTACAGCTATAAATTCGTTATTAATGGAGATAAAAGTACTATGTCACCGTGTGGAACACAAATTAGCCCATGAACTAGCCCATGAAAAATGAGTGAGTTACCCTGGGTGACAGCTCCTTTCACGGAGTTGGGTGTTTTAGGCTTAGGTCATTTGGTTTGATGATGATTTATATGATCTAATACATTAAATTATTTCTAATTCATCTGTTATCAAATGATTGTAAACATCGTACCACTTGCGAAAGTTTTTAATAAATTTAATCATCAAAAATTCAAGTCGTTTAGAGGTGTGTATTATGTTGCTGCTTAATTCCATCAAATATTATACTATACGAGGGCGACTATTTAAGTTTCTTCAATATGTATGTTTTAGTATTGCCCGATGCAAACCATTGTCATATTCGTAAAGTTGGACATTTTTCATGACCATTTGACTTAACAGGACGAATTTTAGTTTTGTGGTATGGCCACGGTGTCAGTTGGAAAAGGTCAACTTCGCAAAAAAATGAAATTTACAAAAAAGATTATTTCTCATAAGTTTTCAAAAAGAGCTGCCTGCTCAACAGTATTACTTCCGACTCAAGTCGGGGTATGGGAAGGAAGTACCATGCCTTGCCACTGTATACAACTGGTTCACTGAATCCCATCGTCATGGTGCTCGCTACAGTGATCAATTGCGCGATGGTCCTTCGAAAATTGATGTCATCGAGAAAAACTCTGGTGCCGATTGAGTTAGGATCGAAGTTTCTTTTACAGTTAAATTGTGGTATGCCCAAGGATCACAGAGACTCCAATCATTTGGTTCTTCCATGAATTACAACATGAAAAAAATAAATCTTTACGTGTCAACCCACAGTTGCTCAAAAATCGATTGATTTTAATCACATCCAAAAAATCATAACCAATTTGAGATAGGATAATAAAAACACGTCTATACGATCGCAATAGAAGCCAAGACATGATTCCAGTAGTTTGGACCTGAAACAAAAACTTGGTTGACTCTCTGAGTCTTCAAACATGAACACAATCGAACAAAAGTTGTTCGTTTGTGAAGTGATAGGGAAAATCGGACCTCATTATTTTACAGTGTTATGTGTCATGTTGCTACCATGCCTTTAGAGGATGAAAGGTCCTTCAATGCTGAATAGTACACAACCATTTGATTGTCAAAAGTCATCACGGGAATATGGAGACCAAAACTCTGAAACTTATAATCCCAAAACATGGCAAAAAGAAGCCCATCAAACAGTCGACTATTTGACCACCCAAAAGATCGAATTGATGCACAATACTCCGTTTACGAATTATTCGGGACCCCTCTGTCCACCAGAGACCAAAATCAGTTGGATACAATATATTTTTCGTACTTGAAATTAGGTGCATATTCAAAAAAGTGCACTTTTTGGAGTGTCATGTTTAAGCTGCTGTCGTAGCCATACCACAAAACTAAAATTCGTCCTGTTAAGTCAAATGGTCATGAAAAATGTCCAACTTCACGAATATGACAATGGTTTGCATCGGGCAATACTAAAACATACATATTGAAGAAACTTAAATAGTCGCCTACGTAGTATACATTTTTTTTCTAAAATTTCGAAAAAATAACAAAAATTGAAAAAATTAAATTGGTTTTATTTCAAACTTTCTTGCAAATTTATATCAAACCAAGTAAAGTGAATGTGATGTCGGGAGATAAGTGTATTATATTTGTATTGATACTTGAAATTTTGAGCATGAATGCGTTGCCTTCAACATCCAAAGCGTTGAATATAGCTGTTATTGGAGCTGGAGCAGCAGGCCTTGCGAGTGCAAAAAACGCCCTCGAACAAGGACCTAATGTAGTGATCTACGAACAAACAGAAGCACTGGGTGGAATATGGTTTTACACAAAACCGGAAAAGATGAGCACGGTGTTGATATTCACACTCCAATGTATCAAGAGCTAAGGTATTAATGAACATTTCTATTTAATTTCAATGCTAAAAATATTGATTATTTGTTACAAACAATAGAATATCCGGGACATAAATATCCAAATAATACACAATCATATCCATCACATGAGGATGTATTGAAATACCTGAACTCTTGCGCTGAACGCATGGAAACATTTGAATAAACACATAAAATTCCATCATTTCGTCGAGAAAATTCATTCAATTCAAAATGACCAACGGATCGTAGTTGTCAAAGATTTGCCTAACAACAGGACTATATCGGCGATTTATGATGCGATTTTCGTTTGCTTTAATAAGTTTTCATCACCAAATTATCCGCAAATTGAAGGCGCCAATTTATTCAAAGGAAAAATTATGCATAGCCATGATTACCGTAGAGCCAAACATTTTCTGATAGATCTTTAACTTAAAATAAATCACAAACCAGATTTATTTTAATCATGAAATCGACTTTATTTGGTTGATATGGTAATGGTTATTATGATAATTTTCGGTAATGGTTTCCACAAATACGTTTTACACAGGCCAGTAATTTAACCAAAAGTGGGCTTCGTCGAAAAAGATTCTTTTTCGGTATATTTCCGTATCATTTTGGAGCTTCTGCAGGGCCCAACCGACGAATGTGCGGCACCTTGGATGGTTATGCCACTTCAGTTCTTGTACCAACTGGATTTTATAGGCCTTCAGACCAAGATCTTTTCGTAAAATTCCGGACAAAGATCATCTTGTTGTGCACGGCGTCGAATTGATAAAAAGAACCGTAAAAAATCTCGTTTCTAATTACCTCATCATAAATTACGATTCTCCAAATTCTCCCCCGTAATTATTTTTTTCGAGTGGAATCAAAAAACTCCTTTTTACACTAGAATTGGATTCTATGCTTACCTCTCTCGATTTTTTTCCACCTAAAATCTGATGTTTGTAATTGGAAGTTACATTCATAAGGAAACATTGAGAAAAAAAAAAGCAATCGTTTCACTTTCGCTTAAGAAACCGTTTTGATATGTGTATAATAAAATATGCTCAGCAAATGACCTCATACGTATAATGGAATAAGTTTATCTGTACAGAAAATGTTTAAATGAAAAGATATCGAAGAGATTGATATACCGTTCGAACTATGCTGAAAAAAGTAATTTGATTGCGATTAAAATAAAATAAAAAATTAGATTTTCAGCCAAATAAATTTTTTCATCGTCTAAAGTACGGCGCACACAAAAATGTCAAGGGAATTGTCAAAAAATAATAAAAGAAAACACAAAAACATTACTTTTGATTGAGATATTTATTTAGTGGAATTAAAATTTTAAAACGAAAACGGCGTTCTACGAGTAGTCTCTTCCTAGTATATGACTTCTAATAATCTATCTATCCAAAAATGATATGGACCCCAAAAATACGAATCCTCTCTTCTCATTTTGATGAAGCTCAAATTCGTGTCACCGTTTCTGGTCGACCATTTGGTAGCCAAGAAGACAATGTCACGAGTATAAATTGCAAGGGGCAAATCACTCTTAAAAAAGTAATTTTGAAATTAGTTCACAATTAGTTTGCAATTACTTTTTTCCCTGCAATTACCAATCTGTCAAAATTACTTTTCATATAAAAATAATTTTGACAGATTGGTAATTTGAGCGAAAAAAGTAATTGCAAACTAATTGTGAACTAATTTCAAAAATTACTTTTTAAGAGTGATTTCCCCCTTGATAAATTGTTATTTTTCGTGCTCCGGCCAATTTGGCACGTTCTGCATTCAACATTTCCAAATTCAAAACTACGTCACTCCTAAGTATGAGTTTGATTTTGTTCAATTTCGGCGATTGACGAATGAATGGCATAATGTTATCGATATTAACGCATTCAATTTGAAGTCGTTCGAGTTTCGTCAGGCTTTTTGCTAAAATATCTATATCCTTGAGGTCATAGAATCTATTTAACATAGTTAATTCTCTCAGATTGTTCAATTGAGCCAAATCATGAAATATATTAGGATCCCCATATTTAATGCACAATAACTCGAGACCTTTGAGTGACACCAATTCAGTGCTATTCTTGTCGTCAAGTCCATATATACTAAAGTATAGTCGTTTATAGAAGCCTTGTTCATGGAGTTGATTTAATAATTCCAAAAGAGTTTCATATGTATTCCCAAATCCTACAATTTCCAATATATCCAATTTTACATTGGAATTTAAAAGTATGT